CGTGACATTTCTAGAATAAAGTATCACTGATGAGTCACAGGACGCTGCTCCCAATCGAGCCGCTGCAGGACGAGTTAGGCACCGGAAATCTAACCAAAGAAGAAGCAGAACGGTTCGCTCAGCTGCTGGACTTTATTCTTCCAAACTGAGAAACTGTGACTGATATCGATGTCTTATTTAAAAGGAAAACTGTAACAAGGGTATCAAGAGCTATGTTAGATCACACGCTGACTCGTGTTTCTTGGACACAACATGCTATATTAAAAAAAAGACCACTCTGGTCAACTTCCTGTACCAGTCAGTGTTTTCTTTTATTCACAGATCTTTGTTTCTTTATTCACTGAAACCAAATAAGGTTAAACTTCCACGCTGAACCTTTTTAATCGTGGAGAATGTAAAAGGCTGTATGTGTCATGAAAAGTTCTCCCAGACGATGAATAGAGTTGAAAAAGTGAGAAATCATAGCAAAGAAAAATAATCACAGGTTCCCTGCAGGGAAGGCAAAGATGGTTTACATGCACCAACCCAATATTATTGTCCATAAAAAGCAGAAATCAACTCATTTTACACTGTTTGGACACTGGGAATGAAACTACAAAGACTCACCAGTCTGGTAGTAACTCTCTGTAGGCGTCCTTTGAGCCGTTGCTATACTCGTCTGGTAGTACTGTTTATTGTCATAGGTAGTCACTGCAGCAGGACGCCCGTAATTGTAGTTGTCCTGCTGGTGTTCACAAGAGAGCATCCAACCCACACATATTAAAACTTGAGCAATGCAGACAATTTAATCGTGCACAGATTCTCTCTCAGATTAAATCATCTGAATTCAAAAATTCCTCAAAACAAAACCTGCTTTGCAAAAATCTGGCATGCAAAATGAAACAGAAGAGCAGAAATCATAAGAGAAGCGCAAAGAAACTGACCGTGTCTGAGTATACCTGGTACGTCTGTGGGGTAGTGGTTGGCTGCGGGGGATCGGGCTGTCTGTAGGTGTAGTCCGGGGGCGCCTGGTGGCTTTGGTAGGCCGGGTAAGGGGCCGAGACCACAGGCCGGGCGGCCTGGACCGGAGCTGGAGAGTATGAGGCGGTCACGGCGTGAGCCACAGCCGGAGCCTGCTGGACGCTGTAACTCGCTGTGGAGGGATGGGAGTAAGCCGGGGGAGGCTGGGTACTGCAGGACAGGAGAGGGAAGAAAGGAAGACGTGACATTTAAATGACTCAAAACATTTTGACATATCTTGTCACACCCACGCTGTCAGGTATTTACCACAGGAATGTGACAAACCAAATATTCAGTCCAAAATATCCTTGTTAGCTGACGCACAGACCACAGTGGTGAGTCACTAACATCAGCATCAGGTGCAAAAAGGAAACTGCTATCACTTATCTTAGTTATTTAAACTGCAACCAAGAAACAGCAGGACTCAATAATATGCAAAAAGCATGGACACGACCACGGTGGTGATCATTTTACTCAGTTTACTTTACATAGATCCCTTTACATGCATGCATAAGCATGCACCTCACTGCGTTTGGCACCGCTTAAATGCTAAACTGCATTTTTGTTTTTGGAGTCAGCACGCTGTGCAGCACCAACAACGCTGAGACTAATTTAAACTGAAACGTTAATTACAGCAAAAATGAAAGATGATAATCAAACACAGTTAAGAAGTAACTACAGAATACTTCTCATTGATGATTACAGTGAACAAACTAATCCGAGAAAGCAAAGAATAATGATACACTCCCTCACTGAAACCACAGTGCGGTGAATAAATATGTAATTCATGATTTATTTATTCATTTTTTCTCTTGCAGTAACACGGATGTTGTGATGCATCACTGTAGACCGAGCTGCAATGTCTGTATCGTGTTTTAGAAAATGAGAAAAGACAAGACAGGGAAACACCCTTCAACCTTGTTATGAGTGCTGACATTACACAGCTGGTCCACCAGAGGGCACTGTGCAGCTGTGCTGCTGAATTTGGAGAGGCCACAAACAAGAAGCTGAC